TAATTAATTTTTAATTAATTCAAACCAAATCAAGTCGAACATGAATGAAAACATATTTGTTCGTGTTAGACTCATTTATAAATCGAGCTAAGAAAACTTATTATGTTTGTTTGTTTGCTTAATGAACGAATCGAACACAAGCTACTTAGCGAGTTGAACACAAGCTATTCACAAACTACAAGCTTTTTTGATAGCCCTAGCTCCAAGACAACAGGGATTCAGATGATTTGGCACTATCATAATAAATTTAACCGATTTTGTTTGCTTGTAGTCATTTGCATTTTTCTTTTTGAAACAAGGTATTATTTCTCTATCTGAGCTCATTTGATTAAGGAAAGGGCACAAAAAAAACACAAATAAGGACCTCCATTCACAGTCAATTTTTAATTTTTCATTGACTTAAATGGTATAGCAGAACTTGGCTGAATTAATACATAATATAGTTTGTAATATGAAAGTCGGAGGATGCACAAAAAGAAGAAGCAAACAAAATAAATAACACAAACTATGTGGAATAAGAATGCCTCGACTTGGAACTCAAATTGATAATTATATAATTTGTAATATGTAAGTCGAGGATGCACACAAAGAAGACACGAACAAAAGAAATAATCCAGATTAAGTGGAATAAGAACGCCTCGACCTGGAACTCAAAGCTCCTTACATTTATGTATAAGAAATCAATTCAAAAACAACAAAGTCCCCAAGGACTACATGAAAGGAATGCACAAATGGAGTTTGAGCTTAAGAGGGGGGACAAAGACTACAGACCTTATTTTCAAAGTTTTTTTAACTTTGGACAAAATGACTCATGTACTACTTATTTTTCTTGAAAGTATAAAAAGAGATGCTGGTTAAAAAAGTCTTTAGCATCATTGGACTTGAATTTTAAATTCAACATCAAATTAACTTTTTCCTCATACTGAAAATGGTCAGAATGATTGTATTTAAATCATTATTGTCTTTTGGTAAAGAAGATTCATATCACGAGAGTTTTTATCGAAAAAAGAGAAACCACCGAGCCCGGGAGAAGTTAGGTGTAAAGAATGATCTATATATGTCACTATAAATGAAAAGAACAACATTTTGGGTTTTTGCATAACTCAATGAAAAACTTGGCTTTGATAACCATGATAAGAATAACAGAAATTTGGTTGAATGTTTCATTCCATCATTTGTACTGAATTTATAAAAGTCCAGGAGAATCTCTAGTAGGAAATGTAAAAAATTAAGGGATTAAAATTAAGCTACTAAATTAAATTATAATAAACAACACATAGATTGATGAGGCAACATTAGCAATCATATAAATCAACAAAGCGGAAAAAAATGCCATAGCAATTATATATATCTTATATTCTTCAAAGAATGGCAACTAATTTTATCATGCCAACGATAATGTTCACAAATCAAATATATCATCACAGGTTGTTTAAGGAGCACAAGACAAGGAAAAGGAATGAGCAATAAACACAAAAATTATTACTATGAGGATAGAGAATCATAACACTTGCAAGCTCGGCTGCTCAATCAAACAAGCAGGGGAACACAACACAAATTTGTAGATTGATGAGCATAAGTTTATGACTTTTTACAAAACAGATAGCGAAAATTACTCAATGTTATGATAAGGGTAATCACAGCATAAACCTATTTTTTTTCATTTGACTTTTTATACTTGATCTTCTTCTAATACTAATAAAACTTTGAACATATCAACTCCTGTCAAATTTAATTTAAAAGCAAAGGGCCCAAAAAGAAAATCAATTATTTTGGTAGCAAAATTGCACCCAAAAATTACACAATCCTTCCAATATATTCCTATATTGTTCTAAGTGCATGAAATGTCATATCCGTGGACTAAATATCTTTCAACAAAAGAATATATGAAAAATGTTAGCTACATGATTCATGGTTTTGATCCTCTATAATTTAAGGCAATTTGGAATTCTTCTCTGAAAAATAGACCTCTCATAATATTTCTTAGTTCTTCCCCTCATTTGAGCGGATATTTTAAAAAATTAATGAAAGGTTTAACAATAGCATGCCCAAAGCAAAAACAAATTTCATTGCAGATATTTGATGGTTAACTCTAGAACTTCGCAAGACTCTTCTCATATTAATTGATTTATTAAATTAAATAAATATTAATGGACATGTCCTTCAGTGCTTTTAAGTGGTTCACAAAAACTAGTGACCATGGGTTTTAAAAAATAATTCTTTAATCAGTTCCTTGCACTTTTACTTTACTCCTATAAACAATATTACTTTTTCATTTTGTAGGCTTTTCTTATCACTATCATCATTGGTATTATCTAAACTATTTGGGCTAGCATTTATGAATCCTCATTTTCCATTCATTCTTAATAAGTAAAATCATTTTTTAGCAACACTAATCCATATTAGCTTCCCATTTTCCTTCCCAATCAAGTGACATTAGCTTTATTTACCAGTCAAATAACTATATTTTCTACCCTTCTTTGTGAATGTTCAATCCACTTAAATTTATTTTAAATTATTTTACCTTAAATAGACCTCAAATAAAACCATTCCTTATATTATCATTCCCATTTTTTGCACATATTCATCTTAACATTATCATTTAAAACATACTCAACCTTTTTATTTACTGATTTAATTTTTTGTTTTGAAGATACTAAGATCTATAAAACATAGATTTCCCGATTTCATTGTTAGACAATTTAATTTTTAAATTTTTTATGTAGTTCTCTTATCACATAATACTCTTAAGATCCTATTTCATTTAACCATCAAACCTTAACTCTACAAATTATATTCTCATCTATGCATTCATTCTTTTGTATAATAGATCAAAAATATTTAAACCTGTCACATTTAAGTATCTGTATATCTTCTGAGATTATTGAATAATAGATGTTAATATCACATCCACAAGTATTTCTATACTCAAAACTTTACTCTACTAAATCATGGTGTCCTATGTTTTAATTATTTTCTCAAACTATTCTAACTTTTCATTGATTTCAATATATGTCTTACTGATTAGAACTATATCGTTTGTGAATAACATAAAATAAAATAGCTCATTTTGAATATTCTTCATAAATATATCCATAAACAAATCAAAATGAAAAGACCCCAACACCGATCTTTGATAAAATTTGACTACAATTGAAATTTATTTGGTCATACCACAAGCTTTCAATTTTAATCAATAATAATATAAATGTATCTTTGGCACATACTTTCATTCTTTGGTATGCGCCAGCACAATTCCAGCGGTACATGACCTTATGCCTTTTCATAATCAATAACCACAAGAAAATTACTTCCTTACTCTATATACCTCTTATCAAAAGTCTTAACACAAAAATTACATTCATATAAATTTTTTTGACATAAAATCAAATTGATTCTCTAAAACTCGCATGAGTTTTCTAAATATATATTCCAATAGTCTATAACATGACCTCACTGTATCGCTCAATATCATAGGCTTTTGATAAAGGTTGGAATCTCAACCCTCTCGCCAATCAATATCACAATATTTCATACTTTCAAATAAAAAGTAAAAAATCAAGAAATGCCAAAGTCAAGATGCCGAGATTTTCAAGCAAAATTCGATCTATCACAAGCCTTATGATTTCTTGGACATAAAATCCAGTTTTTCTAAAGGGGGTTGTTTCATTAAATGTTGTGTATAGCAACATTATCCAGATCATGATGTTGGTATCAATTTAGTGTACCAGTATGCTTGGTTTAATGTTTATTTAATCAAACAATGTGTTATCTTAATCCTTGTTTAAAATTGTGCAATATAAGGCCCTCTTTGAAGCTCGCCTCAATGCTTTTTTCAAAGAAAACACAATGAAGCTTACGCCTCATCTACGCTAAGATGCTTCCCAAGGCACACCTTGCCTCCAAAAACGTCTCCAAATTTTGAGGCTATCCAAAAGTTTTTTAAGCAAAATTAAAAGTAACATTAATACATTTAAACTATTAATAATCACACTTGATGCTCTAAATAACAAGAAATAAAAAGAAAGTGTATCTATCAAAATTTATGTAGTTTAAATTTTAATTATCAACAAAGTTGTTACTTAATTAATATTTTGGTTGATGATTATTCATTAAAAAAATAGAAAATAATTGGGATTAAAGATAAAAAGGAATGAGAGAATACAGATTCGATGAAGTATAAGACACAGAATAAATAATTTATTAGCTCGATTTTTCTAATGAAAATCAATTGGATGATGAGGGTAATAGGAACTTTAAAATTAAAATTCACATGTTGACGACTTGTTATATTATCTTTTAAGTGAGGTATAGTATAAGTGAGAGGAAAAGTTTAATGTTGAACTTATTTTGATCGTTATGTTTTGATGTTTTAGTATTTTATTTTAATAACTTGACTTATTTTAATATTTTAATGTTTGTATAACTCCTTTTCTTTTATAATTTGATAAGAAGATATTATGTGTTACTTTTAGTTTTACGCAATTAATTATTTTTTAACATTGTTAGAATGTTGTTATATTACTTTTAAACTTGTTAGAAAATTAAAATATTAATATATTATTTCTTAGTTCACATTTTATAGTTTATACAATATTTATTCATTTACGTAATTGTTTTTAAATTTGAGGCTTACACCTCAAAACTCCGTGAGGCTTATGCCTCCTTTCATGAACGAAAAACGCCTCAATACCCAACTGTGCAATTTTAAACATTGAATTCTTAATTAAATAATGTAATAATGTGTTGAGTTATCAAGAAACATCAATGGCGTCATCATATTTGTGCTAATTTATTTTCTATATGTTGTCACATAATTTGACATCCAAATATTGACATCAAAAGAGAACCATCAATTCATTTATGAAAATGTTGTTTAAAATGTCAATGAATTAAAAATCTTACCTCTACCATCTATAATTGACATTAGATAGTAGATGTGGAATCAAACATCTATAATTGACACAATAAAGCATTAAAACAAATAGAAAAAAGCAAACCTTGGGATGAGCGGGCACGGAAGCCCCTCGGGATGCTCCAGGACGTGGTGCCACAAAATGATGAGCTTGCTGCTGCCCCTGAGGCGGAGGCGGCCTCATCCCATGCGAAGCAGCAGCCGTAGCTGCCGCGGTGTGCTCGACGCCACCGTACACATAGGGCCTAGCTTGCGACGCGGCGGCCATCGCCGCGGCAAAGTTCATAACCGCCATGGGGCTGCTGTTTCTTAGGTACCCCGCAGGATTCGCCACAGTTACCAACTGATCGACCGCCCGGACGCCTGCGGCGGCTCGCACCGGGAATCCCCGATGAACAGCGGCTCCGATGGGATAAAGAATGCCGTGGGGGGGAGGAGGCGGAGCGGGAGGGTTGATGGGCTTCCCCGTAAGGGGCTGAGCGGAGAAAATGGGAGAGCGGATGGCGGGAGAGGATGGGGTGGGGGAAGTGAGGACGGGCTTTGAGGAAGAGGAGGGTTGCGGAGAGGCCACGATATCTGCGGCGGATGGGGGAGCGGAGGAAGCAGGGTTCGGCATCATGGCGCCGAGATTTGGTGCGAATTTCGATCCGTAAGAACCCGCCACCGGAAGATTGGCAATTTGCTGTGCATTGTTGGTTTAAAATTGAAAAATCAAATCAAATAAAAAAAAATTAGTTCGATTTTTTTATTTTTAAAAACATAATTTTCAGTTTTATTTTAATTTTTTATTTAATTGAATGAATTGGAAAATATAAGAAAAATCAAATTAAATGGAAGATTCACAAAATTAAATCAATATTAAACATATAAAATATATAATTATTGATATTTGTTCCTAAATAAATTTTAACTAATAACTAAATTTCAGTTTATTTATGATTTGGTCAAATTAATTTTATAAAAAAAGTTAATTAGCGCAATTTTTTTTTTAATTGGGGAATTAGATTGCAATCGATTTGACTAATTTGAAGGTCAATCATCCAAACTAATTGAATGCTCTCCCCTTACAAATAAGTTCATGTTCTGTATTCAACTTGTTTTTAATTTCAATTGGAATAATTAAAAATTAACAATTTTAAATAATATTTTAACAAAATTATGGTGATTTACTTATTTTCTATTTTACATGAAATGACATATTATATGGTTTAAATAAAAAAATAAAAATTTGTGAAAATTATGGATAAAAAGATGACTTAATTTTTCTAAATCTATGTTAAGTTAGTCTAGTATGAAATTTGATTGACTACTAATGGGTCATCAATTAAGTTTAACATTTGGAATGAATTTCGATATTTTTTAAGCAAGAAATATTTCATATTGAAATTAAAGATCGTGTAGAGCCCCAAT